ATATCTGGTAGATTTCCTAATATTCTTTCCAAAAGAATCCTATTGTAAATTCTCAAGCAAACAGCCTTCAATTTGCCTTTTGTGAAGCTTCAAATTTCAATATGCTGTTAAGGACAGTGGTCTTAAGGTGCTTCCAGAGCTACTACGAAAATGAAACAAATCAAGGAGGATATGAGAAGCTGAGAGGAGCACCTCCCATCAAGGTTCTGAATAAAGTCTCACTCAAAAAAAAAAGGTTCCATTTTATTGCTTTTACGAATTTGAAGACACTGCTATAGGAGAACCTACTGTATTATAGAACTAAAGTCAAAAAGGCAGTCTGAATTTGAAACTTATCAGTAGATCAAATTCTAAGCTTTATAAGGGCAGAATGAATTGTGTTTGTTTACTCCATGAACACCAGCATCCAACATAGTGCTTGCCACAAGACGACCCTCAAATATTTAATAAATGAATAAATGAGTACAGAAATGGGAAAAAGGAAATGATGGTAATAGGGAAAGACACAAATTATATTTCCATATTTTCTAAAAGGATGGCACATCATCAAATGGACTCCACTAAAAGCACAAGTATTGATAAGAATATAATTTTTATATAGTTGAATATAATTAACCATGCATACCCACCAGGCTTGATGTCCTTGTAAACAAAGTTTTCCAAGCCATATATGAACTCCCCTGAATGTGCGCCTGCATCCGCATGGCAGCAATAACCAGAATGCAAAGCATTTAAAAGACACCTTTAATTTTACATGTAAAATACGCCTAAACTTAATTTCAAAGAATTAGAAATCATGTAACAGTACAATTGAAATTTGGTGACATCAAACCATTTATTTCTAAGGAAACAGTCACAGTGATACATTTTCATTCCTTCAAAACATATACTTAACTCTCATAATATTAAAACAAAAATTCTAGATTAAAATTTTAATAATCATTTCAAATTAAATGAGGCAGGCAAATATCAATTATGGCTAATATCTCACTGAAATCTTTGAAAAATTTTCAAACAGAGCAAAAATCTGCTATTTTGGTTCCTTTTTTGCCTTCCATTTTTCCCATTTCTAGAATGAAATATTACTGTGATATTTGACATTAATTTTATTTTTATTTTATTGA